GTGGCTGTTGAGGACTCAAAGCGTGGCTGGTCAGGTTGAAATGCTCTGCAAGTGTAGAATACATACGGTCTTTTGGAGACTTAATTCAAAAAACGGGACGTCAAGTATCTCATGAATAACTTTGATATTAACTATCTGTTGAAATGATATTTTTGATACAGTATTGAGTTAGCTAAAGTATAATTAATTTCACCAGCATTTTAAAAAAAAATTGGCTTCTCAAAAATTAAAAATAGGGACTTCCCTGGTAGTCCAGTGGTTAAGACTCTGAGCTTCCAATGCAGGGGGTGTGGGTATGATCCCTGGTCGGGGAACAAAGATCCCACGTGCCTCGTGGCCAAAAAAAAAAGCGGTTTGAGAGAGGTCTGTTTAAAAAAATATTAAAAGTGACCTGTATGCCTCACCTTGGTGGCTGTTGGATAGCATGGCCCTAGACATTTAAATCCAGACCTTGCAGGGCTGGTATAGCAACAAGATCTTGCAGATGAATTTTGCCAATGGTACGATTCTGCTTGGGCTTGCTCTTATTAGTAGAGGTGGGAATTCTAGACCTTCATCCAAATGATATCTTTTCGAGATGGCCCTAGGTTGCAACCACCCTACCCTCATCTCATATCTTTTTGACCTTGGGCAAGTATTTAACCTCTGAGCCTTGGCATTCTCATCTGTTGTCATTATAGTACAACTTTACAGGGTTGTTGGTAGGGTTACACCAGGTGATGTGCGTGTGGTACCCAGCACAGAGCTTGGCACCTAGAAGGGGCTCTTCAACAGTCACCAGCACGAGAATGGCCTCGCCTTGTGGCCGCACCCACAGGAGGGGGTGGAGTGCACGGCATGGCTGGCATTCAGTAGGTGCCCCATCTGTGCTTGGCGAACTAAACTAGTGTGGTGGCTGAGAGCTTGGGGATTTGTCATAAACCACAGCTGACTCATTCCCACACCCACTTCAGCTCCTGTCTCCAGCCCACATCCAGATGCCAGGCCGTCACTCGAGAGGCAGCAGGGAGACACCTGTGAGGCTGGCTCAGCCGCTCAGCACAGCTCAGAACTATAAACATCCTGACACTTGCAGGCAAACGTACCTCCCAACAGCTGTTGTCCGAATACAGGATTAGCCAGGATGTGAGCAAGGACCAGCTCCTCTCTGCTGAGCTTTCCTCTGATGCCCCCAAACCAAGCAACCTGCTTGTCATCCTTCATTTCCAGTCCCACCCCATTTATTCAACAATACTTACTCTGGAGAAATCCCTTCTACCACTTTCCTACCAGATTGTCTCCCACCCCAGCTCCTTTGGGACTTCAGCATTTCTTGGGCAAGGCAGACTGTTCTATAGTTAGATAGTTCCTTATACAGAAGCAAAAGATGTCTTCCTAGAACTTCCGCTGTGGATCCCAGTTCTTTTATCTGGAGTCACACAAAGAGTTTATGGCCATCTTTATTCTACCACAGTACCCATTCCTAGGAAAGTAGATCTGCACTAATGTACCTCTAAGTAAAAATCTGGCACTTGTCTTCATAAAACATTACGCCAAGTGAAAGAAGCCAGACGCAAGAGGCCACCTATTGTATAATTCCAGGTGCATGAAACGCCCAGAATAGGCAACTCCATAGAGACAGAAAGTGGACCAGTGATTGACTGGACCTGAAGGGAGGATAAAGCGGGAGTGGCTGTGAATCTACGTGGGGTTTCTTTTAGGTGATGAAAATGTTCTGGAATTAGAGGTGATGATTACACAATCCTGTGAATATACTAAATGCCACTAAATTATACGCCGTCAGAGGGTGGATTTTATGCTAGGTGAATTACAGCACGATAAGGAAAAGGAAAATTTAATACAACAGCCTGTGGACTGAGATGGCTCCTACCAGCCATGTCTTCTCAGCCCTGTCCCACCCGCTGCCTCTGTGCTTCAGGCAATGATAGGAATTGGTTCCATCCCAGTGTTCACCACTTACGGGGTTGTGGCTTTGGGCTGCTTAACTTGTCACAGCCTCTTTCCTCATCTGAAAAGTGGATTTTTGTGAGAATAACTTAATGAGATTTTGTATATAAAGTGCTTGGCTCAATGCCTAGAATATTAAAAGTTCCCCAGTAGATGTAAGAAAATAAAGTTGAGGAAATTAATCAACCTTGCCCCTTGGTCCCTCTATCTTTTTTCTCCCAAGGTAATGCCCCCCTCAAATGCCCTCACTTTCTTGTTCTTCTGGAACCCCTGATCAGCAAACCCGGGGTCAACCTAACATCCATTTCCCCTGTCCTCCCTTCAGGCTGCAGGAGAAAATCACAGAGCCGTGTGGGCTGAGCCAACGTGAAATCGTGGTCTCTCTAGGCAACGGAGACCTCACAGGGGACCAGCAGTCATTTCCTGGTCATCTCTACTCAACGTCTATGCCAAAGCACCACTCACACCTCATACCACATCGTCAAACCCAACACTTTGAGCAGATAACCTCGCCTCCCACCTTACTGAGCAATGTCACATTGCCCGGCCAGAGCTCCTTCAACGTTCTTCCCCTGTTACCCCCACGAATGTATCAATTCCAGCTCTCAGTCGCACCTCCTCTTTCCATTCAAGGTCAATTCTGATGTCTGTGTTTTGAATTTCCCCCTCCTCCAGGCTTTCTAAAATCTTGTTTTTGTCAGCAACCCCCTTTCCCTCCTGTATTTACAAGCTCTCCCTTTCAGTGGACTCCCTCTTTATGTGTCTAGTCTCCCGTCACCTCAACATTCTGTCAGCTGTGAGCCTCTCTCTTCTCTGATGGGATAGAACCTCATCCCCATTCTCACCCCAGTGAAGGGCAATGAGCCTTCTACTTCCATCTGTCCGCTGAGAACCACTCTGGCAGAGATGGTCAATTTATTCTTAGCTGTAAAATCCAGCTCTCACTCTTCATCTTACTTGACCTCAGGGTGGATAGGGTTTTATACTGGTTCCCACTCCTTTCTTCTGGGAACTCTCTTTTCCCTTTGGAGACTTCTGGAGAACACATTCTCTCCTGTTTCCCATCTTGTCTCTTTGGCCACTCCTTCCCGGTCTTACTTTTACATTTGCTTTAAATGCTGGGATTTCCTGCATCTCTCCTCTCTTTACACAGACTTCCTGGGTGAGCGCATCCTCACCCATAGCTTCAACCACCACGCACGTGTTGGTGTCTCCCAAGTCGACCGTCTCTGTCCACATGTCTCTCTCGGGCTCTAGACATATTTCTACTAACATGGATCATTCCATTGGATTTTCTCAGACACTTGAATTCAACATGTCTAAAGTAAGACCTACACGTTCACCAGCACACTGGAGGCTCCTTTTATACTCCTTTTCTTGATGAATGATAACACCTATCTCATTCCCTGAGACAGAAACCTGGGGGTTCTTTCTGACTTCTCACTTTACCTCGCACGCCGACTGGTCTGTGACCAACCCCTGTGGTGTCTGACCATTAATGCCTCAAATCTTTTCCTTCTTGTCTGTACTCACTGCCCAGCAGCCTCATCATCTGTCCCCTGGTCACTTCCGAACTTGTCCCCCTATCTCCCTTCCCACCGTCCTCCCATCAACTCTCTATGTTGCTTTCCAGATGAATTCTTGCTTGATTCCACCTTGTTTCAGAATAAAGTGCAGGTCCCTAAACATGTCACACGTGACCCTCCAGAAGGTGCTTAATAAGTGTTTGTTGCTTTGTTGAGTGAATGTGAGATGTGTGTTAAAGAGCTCTGAAGGCCCCCATGGAGATGAAAGCTGCCCTAAGCTAGGAAGGTCATCAGCTGGTGGTCAAGAGCAGGAAATTAACTCCTGCCTGGGCTTAATGCTGGCCTGAGCACTTACTCACTAGATGTGTGAGTCTGGACAAGTCATTTAGCCCCTCTGAGCCTCACTTTAACCATCTGGAAAATTAGAATTAAATGAGGTTTGCTATTGTCAAATGAAGTAATGCATGCAAAATGTATGGCAAAAGAGTTCAATAAACATTACCTATTATTGTAAAGCTGCCTTTTCTGTACAGTTCCAGAACTTAAGATACCATTGAAGACAGGTAAGTTTGTTCTTTGGCCTCCTCCTTTTTCTTCTCTTATTCAGTAGGGCTCTCAGCATGAGAAGTCGATACTGGCCACCTCCGCCTTCTTTTCCACTCAAGAGCTAGTATTCCAAATTATCACCCAAACTCCATACTCCATTGTCAAACCCACGTCTTTAGCAGATAACTTTGCCTCACACTCATGGAGCCATGTCCCATTACTAGGTATGACTGCCTTCAGCCTTCTCCTCTTACAACACCCATGAATGTATCTATTTCTGCACTCAGTCTTCCCTCCCTCCCCTCTGCCCTCCTACTCAAGGTAAATCCTTCTATCTGAGCTTCAAATTCCACCTTCTTCCAAGCTTCTGGGACTAGAACCTTGTTTTATCAGTGACTTCCTTGGGTTCCAGAGCCTCTTTTCATGGCCCTAGCCCTAGACGCTCCCTCCCTCATCTCACCTTGTTCCTGGGTTTACCTGACTCCTGATCTCTTGCTTAGTCTCCCATCCTTGGCCATGCACTTAGGCCTGGATGTAAATAGTTGCTCCAGTGTTGCCTCTTGATTCTCAACCTCGGCCACAGTTTCATCTCCACTTGCTCTGCTCGTAGATACAGCTTCCAGGTCCCTAATGCAGTTCTCATCAGCCCTGATTCCCTACCGACTCCCATAAAAGGCATCAGCGGGTTTAGATGACATTAGAATTGTATGAATGACACTTCTCATGAAGTTTCCCCCAACTCAAGTTCAAATTAAATGTCATAATATTAAATTTCTAGCTATTATGTTGAATCCTGACAAGTAATAGGACCTGCTTATAACTTTGGGAACTTTTATAAAGGGAACCTTAAAAGTGATCAACTTAGCTTGGAAGATACGAGATAAGTGGGAGGTCATCTTCCTAAGATCGTGGGAAAGTTGGACATGAGATCAAGTTTAATCAACTTCAGTAGTAAATTAGCAAACAAAGTATCTTTCATACCCATTCCTTTGCAGGCTTTGTTCAGCTTTTTGGCATCTCGATCAGCATCAAAACCCTGAAGAACTTTCGCTTTGGCCTAGAAAAAAATAATTGAAAAGGTTGAGTGGACAATATAGGCATTTAATAATTATCTCTGGCTGAAGTTGGCAGCTAACGGGAAGACCAAGCAGTCATCCAAACGAGGGACCAGCCGCCACTTTACACATGGGTACATGTGGAAATCAGCTGGGGAAACTCTGGCCCCAGAGAGATGGCTGGTGCTCCCTGGAGCCAGCCGGACTTGGATGACCACGGAGAATGGCCCCCTCTGTTCTCAAGGACAATCAGCCCGGCCAGCTCGGGGAGAAGTGATTTTCATATTAACCCCACCTTTGTGTGTCTGTCTCTGAAACAGAGAGTAATACAGTGGACCAATGTCCTGGAATGCTGGTTTTCAACCTTCGCCACGAGACGCAATATGTCTAGAGAATAGGTGTTCTTGGCCAGAAGCTGAGGATTCTAGGATCTTATTACAGATCCATTTGACAATCTGGGCTAAAAGCTTTACCATTCACACAATGAGAGACATAATATTTAGTTTGCCAGAGATAAACCTATGGACCAGCAATAGCAGAGTTATTGGTTTTTACTGCTCCTTGGGGAGAAAAAGTTCTGTATATATACTAATGTTTCCCATACTTCAGTCATTGGCATAATACATGCACTGAATGTCCACAGCTATCTATGTCTACATTATTATTATTTGCTTATTATTTTTCTTTCAATTGACCTACTTTGTTTTCGCTTAAAGTTATTTTTCAAAAAGAAACTTTCTATTAGCACTGAAGTGGAAAACCAGTGTTGCTTGCCTAAACAAAAGGTAAGTATAAAAATCAATGCATGGCTATTAAAAATTTACAAGATGTGGGCTTCCCTGGTGGCACAGTGGTTGAGAGTCCACCTGCCGATGCAGGGGACACGGGTTCATGCCCCGGTCTGGGAGGATCCCACATGCCGCGGAGCGGCTGGGCCCGTGAGCCATGGCCGCTGAGCCTGCGTGTCCGGAGCCTGTGCTCTGCAATGGGAGAGGCCACAACAGTGAGAGGGCCCACATACCGCAAAAAAAAAAAAAAAAAAAAATTTAAAGATGTGAGGTTAGTTGCAGTCATGCAACGAGTAGCTTTGAACCTGTGTTTTCTCTTTGTCTTTGTCTTTCCTCACAGAGATGGTCTTTGATGACATATGCCACTTATTTCCCATCCTTCAGTGAAGGCTGGTTTAAGTGCTACTGTCTACACTCCCCGATTTCCCTGTCCCTCCCTTCATTTCTCTGGGCACCTATTGCGAATGAGCAGTAAACCACATAAAGCACAGAGGATGAGTTGCATTTACCTGCCTGGTATCCCTACGTCCTTTGGGGGACTTCCCCTCCCCCATTTCATGTGGTCTCACGGGGGGATGTCAGTCATGAAGCTTGAGCCCCGTCGTCCTGCCCTTGGGTGGACACACACCCTGTCACTCTGGCACTAGTGACTGGTTCAGGAGTGGGGATGTAATCCAAGCAGGGTCAATTAGAGTTTTCCCTGGGTTGATATATAGATATTGAGAGAGAGATGTCTCTCCCTGCTGGGTTTGCTAAGCCAACAGAGTGTGAGTCTAGGGCTGTTGGCAGCCATGCTGTCCACTACATGAAGGAAGCATGGGTTCAGAATGAAGCAAAGCAAAGACAAGAAGGGTGGAAATGGAGAGAGAGAGAGAGAGAGAGAGAGAGAAAGATTGAGGTTGAATAACTATGGACTGGAGGAAGGCTGGCTTCTAGGTTTTGGTTAATGGAGAATCATATAATCTTAAGAGCCAAAGGGATCTCAGGGCCCCCATCACCCCACTGCCTTTTGGAATGTAGTCCATTGGCCCATCTTGAAGTATCCATTCCTGAAACAAGCTGGGAGAGGGGCTCACATTTGTTGAGCGCCCGCCATGTGCTAGACAACTTCTTCATTGACAGACCTTTCTTCATTATTCACAGGGAAGAGTAGGCATTTGTTGTCTGCTTTACAGAGGGGGAAGCCTGGATTCAGGCAGGTTAGGGAATTTGTCTGTGGTCTTGCAGGATGCAGGTTTGCACCAGCTCAGTCTGCCTCCTAAAGCTCACGCTCTTGGGTCCCGTGCACCATCCTGCCTCACGCTCTAATTATGACTGGGGCCTTCACATTCGGCAGAGCGATGGCATGTCCCAAGTTCCTTTCCCAATCTTTTGTGGACTGTAAGAAGGCTATCTGGTGCTTCTGAAGGCTTGTTGGGAGGACCAGAGACGTAATTTGTGGGGCTCAGTGGAAAATGAAAGTGTAGGGCTCCTTGTTCAAAAATAATTAAGAATTTCAAGATGGTGACATCAGAGCATTAAACGAAGAGCAAGGCCTTTCTGCGCGTGGGGCCCGGTGCAGCTGCACAGGCTGCACACTGACCAAGCCCACCCTGCCTTTTGATCACGTTCTAAAAGGGCTGGTTCTCTGGGTGTGGGAGTGTGGGAAGTAGCGATCTCAAAGAAGTAAATTGTGTCTTTGCTTTTCATCAGGAGTATGAGGTGCGACCTAGGAAGTGAGGTAGAGTTAAACCGGAGCTGCAGAAATCCCGTGACAGGCTTCATAAACTATTCTGTGTGTCATTTTAGCCTCATCGGTACAAGAGTTTGGTGGACTTATTATCTATCCCACTTCAGAACTGAAAAGTTGGAAAAGAGAATGGCTGTGAACTTGTGAATAGCTGTTCAGGTTATGCCCGGCCTGAGGGCAGTGGGAGCTGGGTCCTGCTGGGGATACACTTGCCGAGCTCTGTGCTGGCAGGACTGCTTCTCCCCCAGAGGAATACTTTTTCCTCATTTGCTCAAAGATGCTGTCAGGGCTTGCAGAAGCCATGAGGAGACTTGGTTAAGATCACCTGGCTGGGTAACGGCTGAATCGGAGTCAGGGCTCGAACCAGGACTGTCTGACTGTCAGGTATGAAATGACATTCCCTCTCTGTTTTAGCAAGATGGTTCCATGATACAAATATCATAGAGTTATAAGAGTGGAGGGATGGGAAAAGTACCCTCTGAACATGTCCAGTTTGTTTCTCCAAGGCCAAAAAATGAGTAAAAATAAATGTCTTTTAGTCCAAAATAATAGTAATGTCTGGTGGGGTGGCGTGGGGTGCAGTGGGAGAGTGTTGAACCCCATGTTAGGAATAAAGATGATATTGAGACTTAATTTTTTCCTTTTTTTGCTTTACAAATAATGCAGCGTAGACGTCTATATCAGATGCATGACCCTCAGCAGGGCAGGTTGAAGTCACCGTCCCCTTCTAGGAATGAATGACTCTTAGCCATGTTGGTTAGCTTTCCTTATCAGAAGAGAATTCCAGCTTGTTCCTAGTAACAGCAGGATATTTGATGTCAGAGGGAAGGAACCATGTGACATGATTTAAAAAGGAAAGAAAGAAAGAAAACAGTCTGTGTGGAAGGAATCTTCCCCTCGGCATGGCTGGGACTGTGTCTACAATGGCTGCATTCATCAGCAACGGCCAGTGTTGATGCAAGGGGTGTCCTTGGCTTGTTCCAATGATCTGGGTAACAAATTTCTCGGGAATATGCACGGAGAGGACATTCCACCTCCATTGTTCATTGTTAGTGGGCCAGGCAGCTGACTTCGGGGCCCCGGGCCTGTTTGCCCATCAGGAGATTTTGTGTTTGAAACCTGAGGCCGCTGAACAGAACTTCCATATAAAGCAGGTCTGCGGAAACGTGAGTCAGACACAACACGGGGGTGCAGGGGACTCCAGGATGGGGACAGAGGGTTGAGACCAATAAATGGATAGTTCGCCTGCTCTCAACTACAAGGTGTAAAAGAGAGGGGGCAACATTCCTTCTTTTGGTTTTGTTTTGTTTTGATTTGGTTTTTTTAAACAGCATTTTCATTGACACTCAGAAGACACATTAAAAAAGACATGTTAGATGTTAATAAAAATGATTACAGGGCTTCTCTGGTGGCGCAGTGGTTGAGAGTCCGCCTGCCGATGCAGGGGACATGGGTTCGTGCCCCGGTCCGGGAAGATCCCACATGCCGCGGAGCGGCTGGGTCCGTGAGCCATGGCTGCTGGGCCTGCGCGTCCGGAGCCTGTGCTCCGCAACGGGAGAGGCCACAACAGTGAGAGGCCCGCGTACCGCAGAAAAAAAAAATGATTACAGAGTCTGGGTTTGAGCCCACGTGGATCTAAGTTTGAATGTGGTCCTGCCCCTCAGCAGTCATGTAAAGTTGGGCCATTTAAACTCTAGGCCACCATTTTCTCATCTGTAAAATGGGGGCAGTGTCTGCCTTCTGAGATCTGAGGCTTATGTGAGATAACATTTCCAGTGCCAGATATTTAGAGGAACCACAGGCAAGCTTGTCCTGCCTCTGCTCCTTTGGGCCAACTCTTGGGTTTTGTCTTGTAGTGATATTTAGGGTTTTGATTCTGCGTATTTTGACTTGACAAATTTGGAAGGTATACATATAGAAATAAACAGACATCTTCCAAACTTGATATTGTGAGATTCTATCATCTATCTGTTTATCTATCTATCTATCCATCTATCCATCTGTTATCTATCTCGCAATGCCCCAGACACCATGTTTATAATAGGTAGCCACCGAGGATATAATAGTCAACTTTAAGAACATAGGTTTCTCGTCAGACTAGATTTGAATCCCAGCGGTACTGCTTATTGCTTCTGTGACCTCGGGCAAGTTTGGGAACCTTTCTGTGCTGTGGTTGCCTCATGGCAAAATGCGGATAATAATACCCCCTATCTCATAGGTCTCTTGTGAGAGTTTCAATGAAGTCATTCATGCAAAACATCTAAAATGAGGCCTAGCAGAGGGCACGTGCTCAATAAATGTAAACAATATTTGTTGAAGGCAGATCAGTAAGGACCTTTCCAGAATATTGCCTGAGGGGTTTTCACCTTGTAAATGGCACTCTGAGGATCATTTTTCATTCATCGCCTGCAGTTGGGATCAGGCATGCATTTCACCCAGGGCAGTAAAATGGTTAAAAATTCAGGCTCTGTGGAGTCCAGGTGAT